ATATTATTATATTATAATTATTATATCATTATCTTATTATTATTAGATTAATTATATAGGGTTTAATAAATATTAAAGAATGGAAAATACAAAATATAAAACCTACTGCGAAAAGGCCTTGCTTAGTTCTTTAGTAAATATTTACATGCATATCATAAACACTGTAATGTAATTAATACAATGAGGCTTTAGTGCCATTCTGAAATTTGAAATTTTGGCTCAAATATGGAAATGCAAAAAGATCAAAAATTGCGGTTTTGGTGGAAATACTGAGCACACTGGTTGCAGAAATACTAAATTGACATTAAAAAATGCCAAGCTATTTGTAATTTGAAAACTGCTCTTTTAGATTTCTCCCTTTAAATTTTAAATAATTGATAGGTTGCACATATATACCTTTATGTACAAACTGATATGGGTTATCAGATTCAGTAGCACGCAATATGATACTAATCATAGATTAATAACAATGCAGATAGACCACTAGATGTCGTTTTTTCAAGATATAGGGGTTTCGCATTGAATTACAAGACAGAGAGAGTACATACAGGTAACTCCTTTGGGCTTCTGCCTCAGGGTTATTGTGAAGAAAAACTCTTAAATCTTGAAAAAAAACTACCTCCAGAGTTCTATCTGTATTGTTATTAATCTATTATACAAATATACATATTCTTTTATTCTGATGTTGTTTAAAGGGACTATTAAGATGTTTAAATACTGATAAACCAATTCGAAAAAGTAGAATATTGAACTAAATTATGCTCCACGAACAATGTTTTGTCATGTATTCATAAACATAAAAACTTTTATGAACTAATTTAGGAGTTTGCTCAATAGGTTTGCTTTATGTATTTAAAACAATATTTCTAACTCATAACAATAACAATAAATAATTGAAAATAAAACTTTAAATATAAAAACAAAGTTGGTGTAATGTTTATGAATTTATATTTCATGTGTTTCATGATGTATATGATTTATGACTTTTATAAACCTATTTGAAAGTAAAATTGGAGGTTAAGCAAATATTAAACTTTTTTTAAACCATACTTGTAATTATTAATACATTTATATTTGTTTTCTCCAGCCGGCTGCCAAACCTAAACCTAAACCTAAACCTAAACCTGACCCGGATACAGAGTATGTAGAGGCAGGGTTTGACAAGCTCCAGGGGGACCCGGAGTGCCACTCTTTACTAAAGAAACATCTATCCAAGGAAATATTAGATGATCTCAAGAATAAAAAGACTGAAAGCTTTAAATCAAGTCTGAAGGACGTAATTCAGTCTGGAATTGAGAACCTGGATTCAGGGATAGGAGTTTATGCTCCGGATGCTGAATCCTATATGATATTCGCTGCTCTCTTCGATCCTATCATCGAGGAGTATCATGGTGGGTTCGGAGCAGAGGCTATGCATCCTGAATCTGATTTCGGAGCCCCAGAAGAGTTTGGCAATCTGGACCCAGACGGGAAGTAAGTTTCTTGTAATCACTGATATCTAGATAACTATGAACGTTATTAAATCCATACGTTTTCGTTTATATATTCCTACTCTCAATAAAAACATATTATTTGTCGACTCTAAACCTTTTTATTACAAGTTTGTATGTTGAAAATAGTTAATGTTATTGTAAAAGAATGTTGAAATGAATAATGTAGGGTTGTAAATAATATAGAAATTATTGACTGAAATATTTCTAAACTACGAAAGTTCTATATAGGCTTTTTAATTTTTTCCATGATATTTACATTAGAATTTATACACATACATTATACATAACTCATAACTCATACCATTTAATAAGTTATTGAAAATTTAGAAAAATTATAAATTTCCGTCAATGGAAACAAAAAATCTACAAAATCATAAATTGTTTTTTTTTATTGACCGAGAAAAAATGATTGCGGGGAACAGTTAAAGACCCTACATATATAAATTCATCCAGATAAAACCACTACAGTATAGCATATATCTAGATAAAAACCCTACAATATATAAATTCATCTAGATAAAACCACTACAGTATAGCATATATCTAGATAAAACCACTACATTATAGAATATATCTAGATAAAACCACTACAGTATAGAATATATCTAGATAAAAACCCTACAATATATAAATTCATCTAGATAAAACCACTACAGTATAGCATATATCTAGATAAAAACCCTACAATATATAAATTTATCTAGATAAAACCACTACAATATAGCATATATCTAGATAAAAACCCTACAATATATAAATTCATCTGGATAAAACCACTACAGTATAGAATATATCTAGATTAAACCACTACAGTATAGAATATATCTAGATAAAACACTACAATATATAAATTCATCTAGATAAAACCATTACATTATAGAATATATCTAGATAAAACCACTACAGTATATAAATTCATCTAGATAAAACCACTACAGTATAGAAAATATCTAGATAAAACCACTACATTATAGAATATATCTAGATAAAACCACTACATTATAGAATATATCTAGATAAAACCACTACAGTATATAAATTCATCTAGATAAAACCACTACAGTATATAAATTCATCTAGATAAAACCACTACATTATATAAATTCATCTAGATAAAACCACTACATTATAGAATATATCTAGATAAAACCACTACAGTATGAATATATCTAGATAAAACAACTACAGTATAGAATATATCTAGGTAAACCCACTACAGTATAGAATATATCTAGATAAATCCACTACCGTATAGAATATATCTAGATAAAACAACTACAGTATAGAATATATCTAGGTAAACCCACTACAGTATAGAATATATCTAGATAAAACAACTACAGTATAGAATATATCTAGATAAAACCACTACAGTATAGAATATATCTAGATATATCGTGTCTACAAGAATCCGATGTGGAAGATCTATTGATGGATTACCCTTTAACCCAAACATGAAGGAAGACGACTATAAGGAACTTGAGACCAAAGCGCAGGCCGCGTTCATTTCTCTACCGGAGACACATGCTGGCACCTACTATCCTCTTACAGGTCAAATAAGAGGCTGACATTTTCCTTTCATAGATTGATCATAAATTTTTCAAATCGATTGAATATTTGATCTCATTTAAAAGCTAACGAAAAAAATGATCAAATCTTAAAAGTCAATATCGGTCACTCAGGAACATCTTTGAGCATATTAAATTAGATAAGATTAGATTAGGTGAGTTCATAATTCCAAACATTGGTTACTTTTTTCGTTTCCACTTAAAGGGAGTGACCGGTAATGCATGGGTAGTTGAACTGAGATTGCAGTATTATCGAAAAAAAATTTAGGATTTATTTGAAACTTATGAGACGTTTTTACGGTGCATATTTGTTCAGCAAATTAATTGTCATAATTAATCTACAGAAAATAGTTTTGAACATTGAGACATTACAGAAACCATGAACTGAATAAGAATACTTATTTTCGATGATAATAGTTAATTTTTATTTTCTCAACCTGTTTCTAAACAACTAACAAATATTGCAATCTCAATTCAACACCATACATTGTCTCTGTCTTCTACAGAGATAGAGCCTGTTCTACGCCGACTACGCGTAACTCCTTTGGGCTTCTGTCTCAGCGTTATTGTGAACGAAGAACACATATATCTTTAAAAGAAGACATCTAGTGTCCTATCTATTATTTTAATTAATCTATGGTTGGAGCAATCCCTTAAGGAGCGTAATCGGGAATTTTTCCAGGGGGGGCGTCTTAATTTTTTTTCTCTTACCAGGTGGGGCTATCACCCATCCCCCCCCCCGAAACCATAGATTTTATGGGTCAAGATGCCAGGGGGGCTTCGTAGCTCCCTCCTATATCAGTGTATACGTCCATGATCTCTTTAAGTGATACGTACAAACGTTTTGTTCGTTAAAATATTTTAATATTTTAGAATTGAAAAGTTTGAGGTGGAATTATTGCCTGACCAAAAAGTATACCAAAGACCAAAGAGAATAGAATATATATTAGAGTGGAATTTACTAGAAAAAAAGTGTAAAACGGCCATTTTGTTGTACTGTTTCCATACTGCAGGTATACTACATATTTGCGCTATATAACCTTTTGGGCCTTGGAACATCATTTTATAGAAAATCTAAAATTTATATTAAAATTATGAAATAGGCTGGTTTCATAATTGACCAATGACCGATGATCATTTCACATAATTTCACATGATTTTCCGTTATAACTATTAATCAAATGATGTTTTTATTAACCTAGTTCATTTTATAAAGTTTATTTAACAGCTTTAAAAAATTCGAAATTGAAATGGATAGTCTAGGAAACATACTGTATTAATGTAATCTACTGCATATAATTTGTGAACATTTACATGATTTGTAGACTTTGAACTCCCTTTCAGACTGAAAGGGACTGACAAAATTCATACCTAGGGATTGGCTGAATTCCACTCTAATATATATTCTATTCTCTTTGATTCCAACCCCAATTATTAAAAACATTAATATCAATATTTAAAGACTTAGCCTGGTATTAGATTTACATTAGTTTTAAATATTTAAAAAACAGTGTGATTTATTTACTAATAGGCTTTCTGGGCGCTTTGCAACCATCTTTTCTTCGTAATTGTAAGACTCAAAATGTTGCGGATTTTTTTGTAAACATTAATAGATTTATAAAATTTCAAAAAATCGACATAAGCCTTCCCAGGGGTCGTGTGAGTTGCTATACAAAATTTGGGCCCGATCGGTATGGCCATTTTATGCCTATATTGGAAACATAGAGAGAAGCCAACTTTTTGTAGATAGCACATTACAGACTACAGTGAAAACAAGACAACTGTGGAATAGGAAGACGACAGTAAAGTAATCTTTCAGTGTGTAATGCTGTAATAAAGCAAAAAAATGATAATATTAGAAAAGTATATCACTTATTATAAAATTGTTTATGCACAATTGTTGTCTTTCATATATGCCTACTGGACTATTTCAAATCACAACATGAGTCTAAATGTCGTATTCCTAATCATCGGTTTCCTGGTTCTCGATGCAGGTTAGGGATATAATTGATATCAGCAATTGATTTCTACTAATGCCAGTAATGTTAAAGGGATTGGAAAATTCTGAATGTCGTCTTTTATCGTAAAAATCTTAAATTGCAATATCTGAAGGAAACTGTCATTAAAAACGTTATTTTTATTTTTTAATGATTTAGGGATGGAAGAAGAAACTCAAAAACAGCTGATAGATGATCATTTCTTGTTCAAGGTTAGATTTAAATTATGGATTGAAAATATCCAAATAATAAAGGATTAAAAAAAAAGAAAAAAATTAAATCAATTCTTGACTTTCTAAATTGGAATGATTGATGAATTAACATGTATTTGTCATTTAGTCAAAGATTCAGATAAAAATATTTTAAAAGGAAACTTATAGTTTAAAATAAACACTAGATAACCTTTATTTTATTAAACGGGTATAATAAAATGTTCAAAAATAAAAAATTCCTAATTTGAAAAAAACTTATTTTGCAGGAGGGAGATAGATTTCTGCAGGCTGCGCATGCAAGTGAGTTCTGGCCAACAGGACGAGGGATATTTCATGATAATGAGAAAAAGGTTTGATTCAGAGAATCATACTTCAGTATGTTTAATAAGACCGAAAATTATCTTTTTTACTTATTTTGACTCAAATATAATTATGTGTTGATTGTCAAAATTTTATCAATGTTGTATATTTTGTTGAAAGATTTACATCAAAAGAAAAAGAAAGTCTAAATTAAAAATTTAAAATTCACATGATTCAGTTGCAAAAATAGATATTTTTAAAATAGTTTTACTGTTGATTGTAAAACAACTTTTACAGGCTTACGCAAGCCAAACTTGCACAGTTCATCCGAATTACTTACGAAATTTTCCTTCATTAGATTTAACTTTATACATTTTCTTATATATTCACCTATTATAAAAGCTAATGATCAAAGATAATAGTTTTCTCATATTATAAGTTAACCAGCTTGGGAACCTAGCTTTGCCTGGAGTTCTATCTATAAAGTTCAGCTAGAACTTGAAAATAAAGTATAGAATATTCCCGTGGTTCTACCGAGTTCCCTAGTCAAAATTTGAAGCAAATCCGTCCAGGAATTCTTGAGTTATGATCGGGCATCAAACAAACAGACAAACAATAGACAGACATTCCTCAAAATGTCGCAAAAAATGTGTTATTTGCACTATTGAGTAAATTATCTTTGATGTTAGAGCTAAAATCGAAAGTTGTGATATTATCAAATCTTAATTGTTCAGTTTCTTGTTTGGGTTGGAGAGGAGGATCATCTTAGGATAATATCAATGCAAGAAGGAGGAGACGTGGGTCAAGTTTACTCTAGACTTGTTCAAGGAGTTCAGGTATACTCTAGACTTGTTCAAGGAGTTCAGGCATACTCTAGACTTGTTCAAGGAGTTCAGATATACTCTAGACTTGTTCAAGGAGTTCAGGTATACTCTAGACTTGTTCAAGGAGTTCAGGTATACTCTAGACTTGTTCAAGGAGTTCAGGCATACTCTAGACTTGTTCAAGGAGTTCAGATATACTCTAGACTTGTTCAAGGAGTTCAGGTATACTCTAGACTTGTTTAAGGAGTTCAGGTATACTCTAGACTTGTTCAAGGAGTTCAGGTATGCTCTAGACTTGTTCAAGGAGTTCAGGTATATTCTAGACTTGTTTAAGGAGTTCAGGTATATTCAAGACTTGTTCAAGGAGTTCAGGTATACTCTAGACTTGTTTAAGGAGTTCAGGTATATTCTAGACTTGTTCAAGGAGTTCAGGTATACTCTAGACTTGTTTAAGGAGTTCAGGTATATTCTAGACTTGTTTAAGGAGTTCAGGTATATTCAAGACTTGTTTAAGTAGTTCGGGTATATTCAAGACTTATTCAAGGAGTTCAGGTATATTCTAGACTTGTTCAAGGAGTTCAGGTATATTCTAGACTTGTTTAAGGAGTTCAGGTATATTCTAGACTTGTTCAAGGAGTTCAGGTATATTCTAGACTTGTTCAAGGAGTTCAGGTATATTCTAGACTTGTTCAAGGAGTTCAGGTATACTCTAGACTTGTTCAAGGAGTTCACATTTATTCTAGACCTGTTCAAGGAGTTCAGGTATACTCTAAACTAGTTCAAGGAGTTCATATTTATTCTAAGATTGAATCTTGTTTACTTACAAAGGATAAAAAAGTAAAAGCATTAAAACTAAGTGTAAAATCAGGTCTATGCAATTGTTTACAATTTTTTGCCATAAAGTGGTGATTTCTTCCAGTAAAAACATTTTTACAGAGAAATGCATTTATCAAAAAAAAACTGTAATACTGGGAGAACTATACTATATTGTTCCGGGACTAGAGAAGATAAAGTTATATTGTTCCGGGACTAGAGAAGATAAAGTTATATTGTTCCGGGACTAGATAAGATAAAGTTATATTATTCAGGGACTAGAGAAGATAAAGTTATATTATTCCGGGACTAGAGAAGATAAAGTTATATTGTTCCAGGACTAGAGAAGATACAGTTATATTGTTCTGGGAATATAGAAGATAAAGTTATATTGTTCCGGGACTAAAGAAGATAAAGTTATATTGTTTCGGGACTAGAGAAGATAAAGTTATATTGTTCCGGGACTAGATAAGATAAAGTTATATTATTTCGGGACTAGAGAAGATAAAGTTATATTGTTCTGGGAATAGAGAAGATAAAATTATATTGTTCCGGGACTAGAGAAGATAAAGTTATATTGTTCAGAGACTAGAGAAGATAAAATTATATTGTTCCGGGACTAGATAAGATAAAGTTATATTATTCAGGGACTAGAGAAGATAAAGTTATATTATTCCGGGACTAGAGAAGATAAAGTTATATTGTTCCAGGACTAGAGAAGATACAGTTATATTGTTCTGGGAATATAGAAGATAAAGTTATATTGTTCCGGGACTAGAGAAGATAAAGTTATTTGTTCAGGAACTAGAGAAACTAAAGTTATACTGTTCAGAAACTAGAGAAACAATAGTTATATGGTTCAGAAACTAGAGAAACTAAAGTTATATTGTTTAGGAACTAGGGAAACCAAAGTTATATTGTTCAGAAACTAGAGAAACTATAGTTATATTGTTCAGAAACTAGAGAAACTAAAGTTATATTGTTCAGAAACTAGGGAAACCAAAGTAATATTATTCAGGAACTAGATTAACTAAAGCTATATTGTTCAGGAACTAGAGAAACTAAAGTTATATTGTTCAGAAACTAGGGAAACCAAAGTAATATTATTCAGGAACTAGATTAACTAAAGCTATATTGTTCAGGAACTAGAGAAACTAAAGTTATATTGTTCAGAAACTAGAGAAACTAAAGGTGTATTGTTCAGAAACTAGAGAAACAAAAGTTATATTGTTCAGAAACTACAGAAACAAAAGTTATATTGTTCAGGAACTAGGGAAGCTAAAGTTATATTGTTCAGGAACTAGAAAAACTAAAAAGTTATATTGTTCAGGAACTAGGGAAACCTTAGTTATAGTGTTCAGAAACTAGAGAAACTAAAGTTATATTGTTCAGGAACTAGGGAAACCAAAGTTATAGTTTTCAGAAACTAGAGAAATTAAAGTTATATTGTTCAGGAACCAGAGAAACTAAAGTTATATTGTTCAGTTTCTCTAATTTCAATATAATGAAGACGACTTTCGATTTCAATTTTGATTTATATCAAGCTATTAAGCAGCATGGATATATGCATAAAAATAGAAGTCAAGAAAAACCATCAATGAAGTAAGCTTTTCTTTGATTACTAATCGCCTACCACCGTGGAAAAACTAAAGTTATATTGTTCAGAAACTAGATTAACTAACGTTATATTGTTCAGGAACCAGAGAAACTAAAGTTATATTGTTCAGAAACTAGATTAACTAAAGTTATATTGTTCAGAAACTAGAGAAACTAAAGTTATATTGTTCAGGAACTAGATTAACTAAATTTATATTGTTCAGAATCTAGATTAACTAAAGTTGTATTGTTCAGAATCTAGATTAACTAACGTTATATTGTTCAGGAACCAAGAGAAACTAAAAGTATATTGTTCAGGAACTAGGAAAAACAATGACATTTGCTCACAGTCCAAGATTTGGCTGGTTAACCTTCTGTCCTACTAATCTTGGAACCACAATCAGGTTTAGGGAGAGTCAAAAAACAATGAAATTAACTTGGTTCAATATATTTAAAGATAACACCGACAAACTAGAGTAAATAAACTCCATTAAACTTCTTCTTATGAAACACTTATAAGGACAATAAGATTGTGTTCTAAATTTCATGTGTCTAGTTTCTCTCTCAAACTGTTCGAACTATCTTTAATTAGAATACATGATGTCCCAATAAACACGGGAATTATTTTTAAAATCTTCTTTAATCTTTAAGGTATTTTTCTTGGTATTTTCAAAATGTTGTCTGCAATTTTGTTACCTTTTAAGTGACAGGAAATTAGGAAATATGTCCAAATTTCAATGAATAAAATAGATAAATTAACAAAGTTGTCACAGAACTCCATAGACATTTTTAATCACGAAATAAGAAAAATCGTGTTTATTTCAACCAAAATTTTGCTGCTAAATAAGCGATTTATATTTAACTATAGCGATTTTTTGGACCCAGATTTGTAGATTTGGGATAGCATAAAACCGGGTGGGACTTTCTTGACTTTCTTGAAATGGATTCGAATAATGTCAAATTATAAATTACACAATATACATGAAATAGGTATATCATGTATGAAGTAAATTGTACATATACAAACCGACCTTTAACAATTAAACTATTGTACAGGGTGTCTCAATAAACATTGGAATTAAGTGACGACTTCTATATCGTCGTCCAGGAGGCTTAAACCGTAAAATTTTCTTGTCATTTCTCAACCAATCAAAGACTATTTTCTATTCGTCTCTTAACTCCCATGTTTATTTGGCACCTGGTATAAAAAGTTTATTTTTTTAAAGAGCGAGTGTACACATCAAACTCCCATTGCTGGCGGCGAAAGGAATGGAAAACCTTCAAAGCGTTGCGGATCAATTTAATCTACAGGTACAGAAAAGTTTTAAATTAATCTTAAGATTTGTCGTCTTCCTATTGCACAGATTTAAGAGACTCCGTAAAGTTTTACTAATTAAGTTTAAAGGGACTGAGGTTCTCAGGTTTTGAACGATACCTAGAGGACATCTATCTGATGTTCCTGTCTCGAGAAATTTATATAAAACTGTGTCAAAATTACACGAAAATTCATATGTATACAGTTTTGCATAAATTGTTACCAATCTGAAAACGATTATATCCCACAGGAGTTTGAGAATCTCAGGTTGGCTCCTATTGTAATTTTTTATTTTATTTTGCATCTTTAATAGATATAATTGATAATATCATTACATATAGGGATATATGGGATATAATCGTTTTCAGATTGGTTGCGTATTTGCTGAATATGATCTGTTTAAACCTACAATTAGTATACAAAATTGTATAAATATGAATTTTCGTATAATTTTGACACAGTTTTATATCAATTTCTCGAAACAAGAACATCAGATAGATGTCTTATAGTTATCGTTCTACTCTTGAGATTCTCAGGTTTCCTCCTATATCCCCTTTCATTTTCCTTTACAGTCCCCTTAAGTTTTTCAATTGAGGTTTGGGAAATCAATTTCTAAGCAAATAGTTTTACCATTAGTTGAAACTTATTAAACGAACATGGGTCTGTGTATGCTAAACGATTGCTGTGTTTCATGTTCATTTGACAATTTAATTTATAACTTCAGTCCAGCAGTCTTGTTTTCTACAGTTGTATGGGTCTCTCTCTCTCTGAAGTTTTTTAATAAATAAGTTTTACTTTTTAATATTTAATAAGGTTTGAAAACATTCGAAACAAATATTTTTACCAATAGTTGAAAATCAACTTATTAAACGAACTGGGTCCGTCTACGCTAAACGCTGCTGTATATTTGACAATTTGGTCGTCTTCCTTCTACATAGTTTTATAGTTTTCCATAAAGTTCTTTGAAAATCATTTTTATTTCTATGGTTTATGTTTAGCATAGAAGGGTTTCTAAGCAAAGAGTTTTACCAATAGTTGAAAATCAACTAATCAAATTAATGGGTCGTCTTAATACGTCTACGCTAAACGATTATTGTGAATTTCACGTATATTTGACAATTCAGAATAATAAATGAGTCCAAGAGTCGTCTACCTTCTACACAGTTGTATGGGTCTCCCTGAAATATTTTAACTAGTCAGTTTTACTTTTTAAGTTTATGTTTTGCAGGCAAGGTTTAGTAAATCAATTTGTAAGTGTTGAGTCGAAAAGAAACTAGAGATATGAATAAATAATAAGAAACTTGATGGATTAGAAACTGTCAACCTTAACCTAGAAAATATTCAATTAGATCCTCAACCAAATAATTAGACTAAACTTGTCGCCAGGGTAGAAGAATCATTAATTGAAAACTAAATCTCTGAGAAAAGGATTAAGCCTGAACTAGCTTTAAACTGAAACTCCTTAACTAATCATAATCTGTAGAGAACCAATTTGAAGCATATTAAAGCAATTTGAAACATATTAAACCAATTTAAAACACATCAAACCAATTTGAAACATATTAAACCAATTTGAAACATGTTAAACCAATTTGAAACATATTATAACAATTTGAAGCATATTAAACCAATTTAAAACATATTAAACAAATTTTAAACAAATTAAACAAATTTGAGATATATTAAACATGTTAAACCAATTTAAAACACATTAAACCAATTTGAAACATATTAAACCAATTTAAAACATGTTAAACCAATTTAAAACAAATTAAACCAATTTGAGATGTTTTAAACATGTTAAACCAATTTAAAACACATCAAACCAATTTGAAACATATTAAACCAATTTGAAACATATTAAACCAATTTTAAACAAATTAAACCAATTTGAAAAATCTTAAACCAATTTGAAACATATTAAACCAATTTGAAACATACTGAACGAATTTGAAATATATTAAACCAATTTGAAACATACTGAACAAATTTAAATCATACTGGACAAATTTGAAACATACTAAACCAATTTGAAACAAATTAAACCAATTTAAAACATATTAAGCCAATTTGAAACAAACTAAACCAATTTGAAACATATTAAACCAATTTGAAACAAATTAAACTAATTTGAAATATATTAAACCAATTTGAAACATATTGAACCAATTTGAAGCATATTAAACTAATTTGAAACATATTAAACTAATTTGAAACATGTTAAACCATTTTGAAATATATCAAAACAATTTAAATCATGTTAAACCAATTTGAAACATATTAAACCAATTTGGAACATAACATACCAAGCAGAAACACGTTAAACCAATTTGGAACATGTTAAACTATTTCTAAGCATATTAAACCAACTTGGAACAAATTTAACCAATTTGGAACATATTCAACCAATTTGAAACAGATTAAACCAATTTGGAACATGTTAAACCAATTTTAAACATATTAAACCAATATTTGAACATGTTTCACCAATTCTAAACATATTAAACAAATTTGGAACATGTTAAACCACTTTGAAAGAAGTAGAACATATTTGAAACACATTTAACAAATTTGAAAAGCTCAATTCGGCCTATATCTAATATTATCAAATCAAACCACCTCAAAAAAAAACTAATGATTCATGACCAAACTGGAATTTTGACCCGAAACTTTTAAACCAAACTAAAAGATTTAAAATCGACTGTAAAGTTGCATACCAAACTAGAAAAATTGAAACCCAACCAAGAACTAAAATCCTGAAACACAAACTGAAAATTTTGAAATATTGACATACAAACTTTAAGCCCAAATTAGAAATAAGAATTGAATCCTTTAATTGGCGAAAAGCTAGCAACTAAAACCCCCAAACTAGAACTTGATACCTCAGTTAAGAACTTTAAATCAAAACTAGAATATTTAAATTTGTTCTTTTAAATGTTTAAATGATTTACGTTTCTTTGAATTAATTTCTCTATTTGGCTTGATTTCATTTTAATAGATGCAATTTTGTTTACATATTTTATTCTAAAAGGTTTGTTTAAATTTGTTAGGTTCGTGGTAGTGCAGGAGAGCACAGTGAGGCAGATGGGGGACTTTATGATATTTCAAACAAGGAGAGATTAGGACTCACAGAATTTCAGGTAAAATAAATATAGGAATAATTTCAGACGTTGCTAACCGTTTAATTTCGTTGAGTTTCGTTACCACGTTACCACTACCAAAAGATTAATGTAGATGTCTCCCTCTGCCGTATAGTTGGACTATTCTCCAGTTATGATAAGAATAGAAAATACATACAAAAATTACAACTTCAGGGTTCAAACTTTTATAAAGATAAACATTTGATGAAATGAGTTTTCATTAAAAAAATTAAAGAAAATATTTTTTTAAGGCGGTAGAGAAGATGTATAAAGGTGTTGAGGAGCTGATCAGGTTAGAGAAGGAGCTGGAGGAAGGAGCAGGGGACGAGGAGAAGAAGGATGAAGAAGCTCCTGCAGAAGACACTCCAGCAGAAGACGCTCCTGCAGAGGAAGCTCCTGCAGAAGAAGCTCCAGCAGAAGAGGAGAAGAAAGAAGATCCACCAGCAGCAGAATAAGCCTACTGACTAAAGTTGATCCTGAGCTTATGATTGTTCCTATGTATATTTTATACATTCTAAAAGTTAGAAACTACAAACAGAATTGAAGTAGTTATTAATATTTTCGAGATTATGGTAGATGTAAATCAGCTGTATATATATACTTGTATATTAATTGCAAGGCTCCTTATTAACTACGCCTAACCCTTCTCAACCAGATCTTAGCACCAATTCTAAACCATTATTTCTGGATTCTTCTCAACCCCTATCCCTGGACCCTTCTCAATCCTATCCATAGACCCTTCTCAATCCTATCCATAGATCCATCCCAACGCTATCTCTAGATCCTTCTTAACCCTTTTCCTTGATCCTTCTCAACCTTATCCCTGGATCCTTTTCAACCATTCTCCTTGATCCTTCTCAACCCTATCTCTGGATCCTTTTCAACCATTCTCCTTGATCCTTCTCAACCCTATCCCTGGATCCTTTTCAACCCTTCTCCTTGATCCTTCTTAACCCTATCTCTGGATCCTTTTCAACCATTCTCCTTGATCCTTCTCAACCCTATCCCTGGATCCTTTTCAACCCTTCTTCTTGATCGTTCTCAACCCTATCCCTGGATCCTTCTTAACCATATTCCTTGATCCTACTCAACCCTATCCCTGGATCCTTTTCAACCCTTCTCCTTGATCGTTCTCAACCCTATCCCTGGATCCTTTTTAACCCTATTCCTTGATCCTACTCAACCCTATCCCTGGATCCTTTCCAACCCTTCTCCTTGATCTTTCTCAACCCAATCCCTGGATCCTTCTCAACCCTTCTCCTGGATCTTTCTCAACCCAATACCTGGATCCTTCGTAACCCTTCTCCTGTATCGTTCTTAATTCAATCCCTGGTTGATCCAGGCTGGATCCTTCTCAACCATACATCACTTTTGGATTGTTTATATTGTATGTATCATATATATATAATATAAGCATCTTTTTACTGCAAATACAATAAAATTTAACAATTTAAGATTTATGAATTTAAATAATGCTTGACATTTTTCTCATGCAGGTGATATTTGTGACTTTTTGACTGTGCTTGGTTAATTTCCTAGCTCTGATATTTTGAAATATATTTGTGTAGTTTTAATTTATTTGAATTAATCTAGATATAAGAAGAATGTCGCTTCTTAAAATTATTAAACATGTATCGACAAAGTTCTAAGCTTAGAATCAGGTCAAACATGTGTCAAGTCCTAAATACTAAACAGTGAACTCGTAGATCTTAAATTTTCAGAAACTTTAGCGATTAAAATAATACTGCCTAGTGCCTACCTTACAGAAATATACCTCCTACATCGTAGAAATATACCTCATACATTGCAGAAATACACCTCCTACATTACAGAAATATACCTCCTAAATTGCAGAAATATATCTCCTACATTGCAAAAATATACCTCCTACATTGCAGAAATATACCTCCTACATTGCAGAAATATATCTCCTAAATTGCAGAAATATACCTCCTACATTGCAGAAATATACCTCCTAAACTGCAGAAATATATCTCCTACATTGCAGAAATATACCTCCTACGTTGCATGCAGAAATATACCTCCTTTCAAGCTAGAGAAACGGTGTTGTCTTCCACCTTATTGATTACTAGCTGAAGTACCCGGCGTTGCCCATAGAATAAAATTTTTTTGGCCTATGTTACCCCTGGGTTCCCTAAAAAAATTCAGCCCGTTCGTTCAAGCCGTTATGCAGGCTATAGAGAACATATATACGAATTTCTTTTTTTATTTATAGATTTACAGATTTCAAGGGTATCGTTGCAAATCGGGCATGTCTCTGTTTAAATGGAAGGTCATTACGACCTGTAAGTATTGTATTAAGGTAATTGGTTGGTTTCTTTCTATCTACAGGGTTATCCACAAAGGATAAGACTTCAGAGACGATTGTCCAGTATTTGTTTATTCCGTTTTCTCGCATTCAGGGTTTCTTGTTGGCCAAAAATGGCTAATTTCTGTCCTTAATAATTTAGTAAACCATCAAAATTCCTGATCGAATGCAGAGACCAAAAATCAAGCATAAAGTAATCATATTTTTAGAGTTGTCTTTACAGTCTCATCATTTGTGGTTAACCTTGTATTCTCCGTCTTGACGACAGTTAAAGCGCTGGCCCTATTTAGTGGAACTTTCTGTACCCTATAGTGATATTATGGCCGTGGTGTAGATTCAAAAAGGTCTTTTAAAAACCCAAATTTCTTTACTTTAAAAATATGCTATTTTAACAAACAAAATTAGAAAATGGGAGTGATAAATGCAGTTAAAAGAAGTATATATAAAGTTTAGCTATCGATTAATTTAAGTGTACAATGCTTTCTTTTATTTTTAATTTTAATTTTTGCTCTTTGGGCATTTTCTCTAAGTACATTTTAAAATGATAATAAACAAATTTTCGCGGATTTCATAATAATTTTTCGTGGATTTTCTAAATTTTACGAATATGAATATTTTTTGGGACAAATGTTTGTTATTATAAACATTTTTAAACCTTCCCTAGGGTCATGTGAGTTGCCTTAAAATTTTTGGCCCAATCGGTTCAGCCGTTCATTGTAAAACAAACCAGCAACGTATGTTCATACATTAGGATTAATTGTATTATTTTAAGAAATAAAAGTCATAACTCGTTAGATGCAGAAGGTTCAAAGTATTGTAATTATCTTTTCTAATTCTACATCTGGTTTCAAGGATATACAGATGGCAAAATTATTTATTTTGACCAATCATGAAATATTTTTCTTAAAAAAAGAAGAATTACACATAAATATCTTAAGTTTAGAAGTTTACACATAAATATCTTAAATTTAGAAGTTGTACCACGAAAGTATATTAAAACAGTCAGTGTCTTAAAAACTTAAAAAACTGTAGAACTTAAACATCTGATAGCAAATAATAACAACAATTTTTTGTTCGGGAGTATTTTCAGCTTAGACCAAGTTAACCATTTGAGACTCGGTAGGGGGTGCATATATTTTTAAATTTTGTACGAGATATTTTTGCGAGCTTTCTGGAAGACAGGGGAGCGCCCGCCCCCCCCCCCCCATACATCTCTATTCTCTTCTCACCCACCGATCAAATAAAATTCAAACTTCAATTTTTAAACGATGAATCTTGATACAAAAATCATAATTAACCTACAGCAATCATAAACCGTTTCTTCATGAAAATGAGAAATATTCTTTATCATTTAAAAAATAAAAATTAAATAAACATCAACAGTTTATTATTGGTACAATATGTACAATAAACAATATAAACGAGACCACGATACAAAATTTAGATTTAAGATGTATTTCATCTTATAAAATGACATCTAATTATAAAAATATTCACTTGCTGCAATAGTAATAAAAAAAGGTTCTTACAAAAATTTTAAACGGTCGGATATGAATTATCTACAAGATGACTTAAACCCTAGAGTTTTATGTTATAATTAAAAGTTTAGTTTAGGAAAATAAAAAAATAGTTCCCCTTTAAGGTTATTTTTAACTTTGTTAACTTTCTGAGGTTCCCTAAAAAGAGTGCAACTGCAATCTGAGTAAGAAAGAGGGTTTGTGTAAATAAATATATGTTTTGAGTGTTTTTAATCTAGAGACAAGCTCTGGTATGAGGATTGCAGTGGGACGGGTTGGTTGAATCTGCTCCCGGATCAAGGAACCAGGTGGAGTTGCTTAGAGATCTGTAGAAATCATAAACCTGAACATGAACAGTAAATCATATTTTAATACTTAAAACACAGAAAAAATTCAAATTCAATAAAAAAACCTTTAATAGATAAAATAACAAGATATAATAGACTAGACCTGGGTAATTATACAAACCAATAGAAAAGTAAAAAAGTAGTTAATTAGATCGGAAAACAGAGTTGAACATATGGAAAACAGAGTTGAATAGATGGAAAACAGAGTTGAATATATGGAAAACAGAGTTGAATATATGGAAAACAGAGTTGAATAGATGAGAGAATAGATGGAAAACAGAGTTGAATAGATCGAAAACAGAGTTGAATATATGGAAAACAGAGTTGAATAGATCGAAAAACAGAGTTGAATAGATGGAAACAGAGATAAATATATGGAAAACAGAGTTGAATAGATGGAAAACAGAGTTGAAGATGGAAAACAGAGTTGAAGATGGAAAACTGATTTGAATAGATGGAAAACAGAGATAAATATATGGAAAACAGAATTAAATAGATGGAAAAAAAAGTTAAATAGATCGAAAAACAGAGTTGAATAGATGGATAACCGAGTTGAATAGATGGAAAACAGAGTTGAATAGATGGAAAACAGAGATAAATATATGGAAAACAGAGTTGAATATATGGAAAACAGAGTTGAATAGATGGAAAACAGAGTTGAATAGATCGAAAAACAGAGTTGAATAGATGGAAAACAGAGTTGAATATGTGGAAAACAGAGTTGTATATATGGAAAACCGAGTTCAATATATGGAAAACAGAGTTGAATAGATGGAAAACAGAGTTGAATAGATAAAACAGAGATAAATATATGGAAAACAGAGATAAATATATGAAAAACAGAGTTGAATAGGTGGAAAAAAGAAAAAGAAAATCAACCATACAAAATGTTTTAGATTACTCGCTCTGAATTAAGTATGTATCTACTAACCTCAACCCATGGAACCAGGGCGAACAGGAGGAGCAGGATACAGGCAAACATCTCCCTACTGGTTAGCAGGTTCTTAGCCTTCTCCCTGAACTCGAGATCCACCAAGAATATGGCCATTCTCGCCTCCTATACAGATTTGATCGTGAACCAGGAGCTCAAGTATTTTCATATAATACAATGGGACCTAGAAAACTGTGGAACAAGTTACCAATTTTATTTTTAACTTATTGTTTTAAGAATTTAACATAAAATTGCTCAAATGTAGTCTTTTTTTTCACATGGACCTCACTGTTTAACCAACGATCATAGGCAGGATAAAGTCCCACTTCTAATTTGGTAATTTCCTAGACAACGTTTTTTGGACCCCCCCCCCCCCCCCTCTCCTATTAATTTTTTACAAGCATCTTATATTTGGTCATGCGGCCGCAGCGCCCGGCCCCCTATAGCCTGTCCAAGCCGCGGCGCTCGGCTCAGACAGTCCTAGCCACAGCGCTCGGCCCCTTAGCCTGTCCAAGCCGCAGCGCTAGGCCCAGTAATTGTCTAAACGTAACCTAACCCTAAAATAATACAAAATAACTTAAAATTAATGGTTATGTACAAAATGAAGCGGGGGTGGCGGGACCGGGTGGGGGGTCCAAAAATCGTCCTCTAATGACCCGCATATTCATTAGATATAGGTTAAGATTGGTGTAAAAAAAAATAAAAATCTCTGTGCTGAATCGGAAACTCAAATAACAATATGGCTGATAAGAAGTTTTATCAATTCAAAAATAACAAATTATTTATAGACACAATTTTAATATCTTAACAATGTCATTGTTTTCTGAATATTGGTGTCAATTATATATGTTTTTACTTACTTGTTGAATAGATGATATATTTCTCGGTAGCTCACGTAGAAGATATTTCTCTGTCTACGATATTGCGAATGTCAATGTGTTGTTGTGAAGTATTTGACTATCCAATCCCTCCCCGGCTGAATTGAATGTATATTTAGGAATTAAGGCCTTTCAGTTGTGAAGTTAGGTTCTACGCAGCAATTAGTCATTCACTGATAAAACTTCTCACTCTCAAGTCTCAGGTCTTTGTTTCCGCTAAAAACATTATAAACATTGATAAACATAATGAAAAACATTTGAGGGGTTTGTTTAGAGATTAGAAGCAATATGGGGGAAGTAAATTAAATTTAAAGTAAAACTGCGTAGAACTAGAATAAATATAATCTCCTCCAGCTGTCACGTAACTGCGTAGTACGAAGGTCGTCTGTATAATAAACTCATTAAAGGAGAAAAGGTTAAGAACAGCCTAAGAATGAAAACAATGAATCTATCTTCTATAAATATACATATATATATATATATATATATGTATATACAATATAATATATATATATATACAATATAATATATATATACAAGGGGAAAAGGGTCTACAGCACGGATATATAATAAAGTCTACAGACTCGTTTTTAATCAGATTTTCAATATTGAGACCTATACGTATACAATTTAACCTATTCTGAATATATGTTCGCGGTACTTACATCAGACAGTTCAGGAGAGCATATTTTTTATTAAAATGGAGTACCGTCTGTAAAGCTTGTATAATCATATGGTAGGGCAGGCCGGGACCATCCTTTCTCCATTACATTCCAGAACCCTTGAGTTTATTATAATCTTATTCAAAATGTCTACTAATAGCAGCAAGACACTTTTGGGTCCTTGATCTAACTTCAAACCTAATCTTTTGCCATACAGCAGGTCCAGGGCAGCTTATTTTGCAAAACATCAGGGTCAAGGGCAGCTTATTTTGCCAGACAGCAGGGTCCAGGGCAGCTTATTTTGCCAGANAAATAGCTCAAAACCGCGCAAAACTCATTGCGTTTCATGCGCAAAAATAGCGCAAAAGTTCGCAAAAAAAAATTTGCGCGAAAATACCGCAAATTTTGCGCAAAAGATTTAGCCATTTCGTGGAAACCCTAATAGATAATGACATAGGAATTGTAATTACATCTATTAACTTTAACTTGTAAGATATGTACCTCAAATACATTAGTTAATATAGAAACTCTGCTTTAAATACAGTGTAGAGTAATCGCGTCCTAGTTGAAACATACAGCTGAGATCATACCTCGGTATTTGGTATAGATCGATTACGAGCTTGTTTGATAGCTAACTGTGTCCTCGTTGAAACATACGGGCTGAGATCGTACCTCCGTATATGGCATAGATCAATTAAGAGCTTTTTAGATAGCCACGCTTAATTGTATGATAGACAGGCTTGTGTTCCTGTGTGGCATTTAGAGATAGATTAAAAGCTAGCTAACAAGATCGCGCCCAGTGGTAGTGGCGTTGTATAGTTCATGGGATTGTAGCCATGTAGATCGTGTCAGCTGTTTGACTTTGATAGCGGATTGGTTGTACCTGGACTGATACAGTTTGGGACGAAGTTTTAATAGTACGGCATTTACTACAGAATAACTCCATGGTTTAGATCATTAACCCATGGATTAGATGAATAACTCCATGCTTTCCATGCTTTAGATGATTAACCCATTGTTTAGATAATAAACTCCATAATAAACTTCATGATAAACTCCATGGTTCAGATGGCAAACTTCCTACTTTAAATGATTAACACCACGGTTTGGATAATATATATAAACTTTCATGTTTAGATGATAAACTCCATGGTTTTAATGAAAAACTTCATGGTTCCGAGGATGAACTCTTTGGGTATCTTGGTAGTTATGTCTTAAGATGTTCCCTGTACTTGAAGTATATTATCTACTGAACCATGATTTAAACCACGGAGTCTTTGTTCGAACCTCTTAGTTAATCAACTGAATTATGGATTTCTCATCAAAATTTGGAAAATTATCATCTATCCCTTGGAATCTATGACCTAAACCACGGATTTAACACCTTTACATCGAATTTAACACCTACTCCTAAATATCCAGTTTTCACTTGTGAGGGTGGTATCAATTAACTAAAAAATAATTCTTATCTAAGCAAAGAAAGTTGCCACAATCTGGGAAAAACCATTTTTTGAAAATTAGCTTTGAAAATTTGTAAATGAATCTAAAGGTTTTATTTCCAATGGAATAGGGTTTTAAGTCCTTGGCAAAAAAACCCCAGGAAAGCTTTCTAGATATTTGCTGTTCACAAATTCTACTTATAACTTATAACTTTATGTTCTATTTGGTTCCACTAATGATGAAAACATTCCATTAAAAGATGATGTAAGGTTTCCACTCACGTCTTCAAACATCAAAATATCGGAAATAAATCTTTTCATATCTTTTTTAGAATTTAGAATTTTGGGAAAAGTGGATCTGTGTACATCCAGCATAAGGTCCAATTTAGATTTTATGAAACCCAACTCCAACTGATTTTAAAATGTTTTTTTTTACATAATCGTCTCCTATTTATTCAATATTTTCGTCCCAAATATTTAGTTGATATTTAAAACAATAGATAGGTTTATGAATGAGGGTAGTATAAAGTGAGGTCAATAAAAACGTGGAAGACGACATTAAGTAATGTTATGTATATTTTTCGCCCATCAACCAATTATATTAATATACTATCGTCTTTCATCAACCTATTCATCTGTCTCTTATCAACAATATATCTATACTACCCTCATTCACCAACCTATTCATCCGTCTCTTATCAACCATTTATCTATACTACCCTCATTCATCAACCTATTCATCCGTCTCTTATCAACCATTTATCTATACTACCCTCATTCATCAACCTATTCATCGGTCTCTTATCAACCATTTATCTATACTACCCTCATTCTTCAACCTATTCATCCGTTTCTTATCAACCATTTATCTATACTACCCTCATTCACCAACATATTCATTCATTTGAATATACTTCTCTCCTTCACCAGCCTATTCATCCGTCTCCTATCAACCATTATCTCTGTATTCTCTCGTTCATCAACCTATTCAACCGTATATCATCAACCATTTACCTGTGCTTCCCTCGTTCATTAACCTTTACATTCATCTCCTATCAACCATTTACATATACTTCCTTCATTCATAAACCTATTCATCCGTCTCCTATCAACCATTTATCTCTGTATTCTATGCTCCTCAATCAACCTTTTACTCTTCCTCAAGCTTTTCTTCCGTGTTTTCCTATCTTCTCTAATTTCCTAATTAAGTTACGATTTAATTTAGATTTTTCGTTCACCAGTTTCTCTTCTTGTCTTAAAATTGATGTATACAACGAAAATATTAAGTCAATAAAATAATGTTTAAATATAAACTGGAAATATTACAAGTTGTGAACAAATTGTCATTATATATATTTTATACTTAAGCAACTAAGTTTTACAGTTCATGCTTTTTAAATAGATTATTCACGTGAAAATCTATACTTTTTTTACTTTTTCATTTGATTCTATAGTTTAAAATTTTTTTCTAGAGATTTTATGTTTAAAGTTTTAAAGAGCATTATGAAAAGGAAGTGTAATCGGGAAAAAGATGCGGAGCGTTGTGAATTTCTAGTATACAATATATATGAGTGTACTTATAACCCTCTCCCCAGGCATCCTTTCTACAATCCACTATGAAAAGTGTATACCGGAGATGGTTTAATCTAAACCCTGTCTCTGCTCCTTATTATTTATAGATGCATAAAATAAAAAATAAATAAACTATTTTCAAATATTCCATGTGGGTCGAGCTAGATCTACTTTATCTAATGATTGTAAACATTGTTTCAGCTCCATGTTTGGTGGCCAATTTAGAGGTTGCTATCATAATCCGAGGTTCTCAGTCAGACTCTTGAGACACACCTGAGAGCGAGGACGACCTCCCCCTAGAGGATTCTGCGCAGAGGCTTGTGCTGAGTTTGAAAGTATCGATCTGCTGGTTGAGGAGGAGGAAGAGGGTGGAGGAGGAGGGGGGGGAGGGTTCCTGTCTCTCTCTGTTCCAGTCTAGTATAGTTCAATACCTAGTCATACTTTCATATACACCTTCACCAGGTTTATACATCCTACACTCATTGATAAACATTCCTGTATGTTAGAAACATAATCTGGAATTTTAAATATTTTTATTATTTTATGATAATTTTTTTATCAGTGATTGAATACCAGGCTTAAACACCTATCCAGCTATACAGCCTTGGAACGTGGGAAATTTTTTGTAATATTTAGGTTTATTTTTTTATTATTAGTTTTCTTGAACCACAGTATGCTTTCAGAAAAGTGAAAATGTAAAGATGATTAGAAAAAAATAGTTTATATTTAGAAAATCTAGTTTTTGATAAGAACCGCTGATGGAACTTAATTCTTTGGTAAGGTTTAAGCAGACTGTGTTAAACTAGGAACATTATTAACGATTTAGTTAGAATATCTTAAACTAAATCTATAGTTTATCTAGATTATGTTAAACTAAATCTATGGTTTAGCTAGATTATGTTAAACTAAATCTATGGTTTAGCTAGACTTTGTTAAACTAAATCTATGGTTTAGCTAGACTTTGTTAAACTAAATCTATGGTTTAGCTAGA